AGTCTGCTCTGAGGGAGAGACCGAGGAAGCCGGCTCCGCAGTCCATGGCCTGTGGGCTGACATCTGTGGGGTGGACGTGGGCCGTTAGTGCCCCTTGCGGCACCCTCAGCCCACCCATATGTGTGCACACGTGTGCACGGCCAGGCCCCAGGTAAGCACCCAGCCATGGTGCTGACACCCTGAGGCGCAAGGAGAGGCCCTTTGGTGGCCCTGCCCTGAGGGCACTGTTGTCCTGATGTTGGGACAGGAGGGCCGTGTGGACCCCCCGTCGTCAGGTGGGCTGGGTGGGCTTCGGGAGGTGCCTGGCCCAGCCTTTTTCTCCTCCGTGCTGGGTCTTGGGCAGAAAGGGAGGTGCCTCGAATGTCTGACGGCTGGCTGTCAGCCGGCTGCGTGTCCCGTCCCCATGTGGCTGTTCTCCAGTGCGCGCCCCTTGCACACGTGGTGCGGGCCCAGCTGAGCAGCGCAGGTTTGGGAGTCCATCCGCACGATCACCCCCTGGCCTCTGTTGGCAGGGAGTTGGCCCCTGTCTCTGCCCCCGAGTCCTGGTCAGGCCCTCGGAGGCCCTTCCCTCTGCCCGGAAGTGGTTGTGCCCTTCACCAGCGTGTTGGCTCTGCTCTGCATGGTCTGCAGCCTTCAGCCTCCTCTGTGTGGTGTGGGCTCCTCTGTCCCCAGTTGCTCAACTGTAGGGCACACGTCCGCATTGGGACAGTGGTGGTGCCCCCTAGGCAGACCCTCTCGGGTGACCTCTGGGGTGATTGTGTGTGAGTCAGAGCCTCAGACTGGGGACAGCGGGGGCACCTGCATCTTTCACTTAACCTGAGGCTCACTTTCCAGTGTGACCGCTGCTGACCTTGCATCTTTGTGTCATGGTCGGTTAGCACCACCCTGGTCGTAGATGAGCTTCTCCTGGGCCTCAGCTGCTGCAGCTGAGGGACGGCTCCGTGCAGGTGTCCCCAGGCCCCAGGAGGGCGGCTGTCCCCACGCTTCTGAACTCAGCAGGGTGCTCTGTGGTGTCTCATCTCTCACAGGCTCATTCCTGCCCATCTGGGAGTGGACGTTGGGTGTCTCCGGGGCACCTGAAAGTGCCTCAGGCCGGGTGTCCTGCGGGGGGCGGGGGGCGGTGCTCTGGTCAGTGAGTCGCTGTGCTAGGGCGTCCCTCTGCACGGGCAGTTTGGCTTGTCCTGAGTGCCACTGGGGACATGCCTGGGCACAGGCCACCTGGAGATGCTCTGCGGTGGGCCCAGAGAGGGCATGGGGGTTGGGGAGCCCTCCTGGGTTCTGCAGTGGCCCAGGCGCTGCCCTGCTACATCTGCTCCAGGCTGGTGGGGGCACCTTGGCTGTGAAGACCTGTCCTGGGTCGTGGGCTCTGGTGACCTAGCCTGCGACCAGTTCACTGTTCCCTGGGGTCCCCGTGGGGGTCCTAGGCCATTCCGGCCGGTCCTCCAGAGCATGCAGGCTCTTGCTGGATTCCAGCGTAGGCTTTAACAAAAGTTGAGGGTGATCACACTTTGGGAGGGTAATGGGGAATGACACACCTCTCTCTGCCAGGAAATGAGCGAGTGTGGGGTGTGTTTACAAACACAGTGCTTGTCCGATGGAGCATCCAGGGGCAGGACGATGAACTCATTTGTGGGTGCATTTGCCTCGTGGGTGTGGGGCCCCCGAGAGAGGCGTGAGGGCAGGGCGGGGGCTGAGCTGATGGCAGGGAGGGCAGGCAGGGCCCCGCTCAGAGCAAGCCCCTGGGAGGGAAGACGGCGGGGGCGTCCCAGAGGAGAAGGGACATCGGGGAGGCTGAGGGTCTGGCGGGTAGTGGGCACACAAGGGCCCCCTACCAGTGAATTGCCCCTCAGGCAGCGCCATGAGAGTGGAAGCCGCCTTCCTGCTTTGTGCCCCAGCCTCGCGGTTTGTGCTGCTGCACAGCTGAGGGAAGGGCCCTGCAGTGAGTCCCCGGCGAGGAGACGGGAAGCTGAGGCCTTGGGGTCTGCACTGGGGGGCATCTGGCGCCTCTGCCCCGGACTTGCCTGCATGTGCCAGGGAGGATGGGCCAGAACCTCTCTATGGGTTCCAGACTATGCCACTCTGGCCTTGGCGGGTCATGGAAGTTTCCAGAAGTGTGTTGATTTGTAGCCCAGCCCTGGAGCAGGACTGCTGATGACCAAGCCCCCCGAGAGTCCCCCGTGGTGTCAGTCTCAGCAGGAAAAAGCCTCAAGCAGGCAGCAGACCAGCTGTGGGGGCCACAGCGAAGGTTCTCTTGGGGGAGCTGGTGTGGTTGGGGGTGCGCCCCGTGCCCTCCGCCCGTTGTGAGGCCCTGCTAGGCCCAGCCCTCCGCCTTCCAGATCTGAGCAGGGGTTGACCACAGCTGCTTTCCTCCTTCCTAGTTTGCCTCTCGGAGAACAGTTTCCTCAACAAGGGTGATAATGGCCCTCCCCCGGGGCGCGTGGCGAGCAGGGGTCAGGTTACTCCCGCTCTGCAGTCCGGACAGGCAGACGCTCCATCCTGTGCGGGCACAGCGCAGAGGCCCGCTGCGGAGGGGCCAGCGGCCACTGGGGAGGGGCCAGCCGTGTCACCAGCCGCCACAGGGTGGGGGAGGGGGCACAGGAAACTGTGCAGTGCTGGCCTCACGGTCGCTGGAAAGCTGGGATGTCCCGCGTGTGCTCTGTGCCTGAAACAGAGCCGTGGGCTGCCTCTCCCAGAGCAGAGGGCTCTCGAGCGCACAACTGGCCAGGCGGGCAAGAAAACCCTGCCACACAGACCCTCAGGGTCGGCCCCCGCCACCCGCTTTCCTGTAAATCAGAGCATGCTGGGCAACGGTGTATGGAGAATTTCCAGTTAAGCTGTTTGTGTTTGGGACAAACAGAAACGTGTCTGATTAGCCTTGTTTAGAAGAGAGTGCCTGGAGAATTCCCTCCACTAGGCATGTTTCCAATTACCTTTAAGAGGAGGGGGATGAGGGCGCCTGGGTGGCTCAGTTGGTTAAGCGACTGCCTTCGGCTCAGGTCATGATCCTGGAGTCCCGGGATCGAGTCCCGCATCGGGCTCCCTGCTCAGCAGGGAGTCTGCCTCTCCCTCTGACCCTCCCCCGTCTCGTGCTCTCTCTCTCTCATTCTCTCTCTCAATAAATAAATAAAAATCTTAAAAAAAAAAAGGAGGGGGATGAGGAGACCCCCGCTCATGGGACATGCAGCCTGGCGGCCTGATTTTGCGGCTGTTGGCCCAGGAAGAAAGGCAGGCAGACCCAGAGTCGCACAAGCAGGGAGATACCTGGTCAGCGGGCTTCAGTCCGACCCCCCGGGCCGCGCACTGACCCTCACGTCCAACCCCCCCATCCAGGGCCGCGCCCCCCCCCTCCCACCCGACCCCCCCCCCCCCCCCAGCTGCACACTGACCCTCATGTCCGGCCCCAGCCCGGCCCTCCTGCGCCAGGTGCCCAGCTCCATGCTGCGGTCCTCATTTCAGATTTGCTCCCTGCGGCTGTTGTCCCCCAGAAGCAGGCCCAGCCTGCTCTCCTCCCTCTCTCCCCCGCTGCTCCCAGCCCTCCAGCGCCATCCTGGGCACCGGCCTGTCTGATGGTTTGGGGAGGACGCGGGAGTCCGGGAGCTCTAGGAGAGTGTCGGTCTCTGTAGTGTGGTACGTTGGGTACCGTCTGGGGGCTTGCTGTGATGTAAGCACCCAGAGGGCTGCTCAAAGTGGCTGGGGGGGGGGCAGGCAGCCTCTGTTGGGGGGGTCCCACCTGTAGCGTGCTCCCCAGACCTGAGGCTCCCCGTGACTGGTGGGCTCACAGTGGGTTCATTTCACTATAGACCCCAACAGGCACGTGGAGAGGCAAGGGCCCACCTGCATCCACATCCTCCTTATGCCGGCCCCACCGGCCACCCAGCTCGCTCTGCCCCTCGCCTCTCAGGCTCTCGCAGCCCCTCCAGGGAGGCAGGGCTATGAGGCCGGACCCACCTGACCCGGTGTGGTGGCACTTCTTGGCTCTTTCACGCCGTGAGCTACACTCTGGCTTTGCACGGGGAGCTAGGGGTCCTGAGCAATGACTGCTGTGCCCATGGAGGCTGCAGGCCGGTGCCGCTGACCGCTGGCCTGACCTTGGTGTGACCCTGCTCTGGCGAACCTGAGCGTGCTCCCTTCCGGCCTGAGGGCAGGGGTGTGGCTGAGGGTGGGTTCCGTGCTGGACGCTGGGCTGCAGGGCCCCGAGCAGTCGGAGGGATGAGAACATGCCTGGACACCAGGGGCCTGAGAGCCGGCTGTCCAGGAGGCTGCTCCTGGACGGAGATGTGTGAGCACGGATCCCTTGTTGGGATCCCCGGGGGTTTCGCTGCTTGCAGCTGAGCCTGGTGGGGGGTGACCAAGAGAGAATTGGAGGGAGTGGGCACCTCTGGGCGAGGAGGGTCGTGGTGGTAGCTGGAGGGGGCTTGCAGGCCGTGTCTGGGAGCCTTGAGTGGTGGGGGGTCGGGGGCTGCAGGCCATGAGGAGCAGGTGGCCACGTGCTTCCTGGCACAAGGAGCCACTCCTGAGTCCATCCCGCTTCTCGGAAGAGCAGGGTGTGGGAGGGGACGTATGGCGGCCCGGAGAGTGCAGTGGAGACCCGGGAGGCCTTGGGGAGGAGCTGGGTGGGCAGCTGGTGCCCATGTCCAGCATGTCGGGTGCAGAGCTGCTGGTGAAGTGGGTGTGCCCAGGTGGCCAGTGGGGAGGGAGGGAGGGGCGCCGGGCTGGTGCGGCATGGGGGGAAGGATGGGGTCCTGGTGCTGGTGGAGGTGGTGTGATGTGTGCGTGGGGGTTGGAGCGTGGTGGCTTCTGGGGCAGGACCCCACCCAGGCGGGCTGAAGTGCCTACCGGGTGGTTTCAGCGGAGAGCTGGGCTGGATGTGCCAAGAAGCCCACGGCGTGTTTGTGAGGGGGCAGACACAGCTTGCTGGAATTTCGTCTTGTGTCCTTTCCCAGCCGAGGCCACGATTGTGATGACCACGTCCTGCTCCCTTCCTGCGGGCCTCTGGTCACATGCCCCTGGCCAACGGGGCAAGTGGCATCTCCCTGTGGACCCTGGCCCTGGGGGGTGCTGCTACTGCCCAGGTCACCACGGGGGCCGTGCACCTGACCCCCTCCGGACCCAGCACCTTCTGCAGGAGGTCGGGAGGTGGCCGGAGCTGGCTGTGGCTCAGCTTCCTGGTGGCAGGGCCCTTGTACTTTCTGCTGTTTGCTCGAACCCCACTCTCCATCTTAAGCACGTCCTGACATCATCGTGGTGCCCTTTGCGCCCGGTGTGGCCCCGCCCAGCCCGTGAGGTCAGCCTCCTGCCGCTTACAAAGTGTTGTGAAAACCCAGATGACTTTTTTTTTTTTTAAAGATTTTATTTATTTATTCATGAGAGACAGAGGGAGAGAGAGAGAGGCAGAGAGAGAAGCAGGCTCCCAAGGAGCAGGGAGCCCGATGCGGGGCTCGATCCCAGGACCCCGGGATCATGACCTGAGCCGAAGGCAGACGTTTAACCATCTGAGCCACCCAGGCGCCCAACCCAGATGACTCTTAACTGGCAAGACTATATTTCTGTGGCGACTGATTTTTTGGCACTCCTGTCTGTCATTTTCTCTTTGTTATGCTTTTCCTTTGCTATTTTGGTCATTTTTTCCTCAGAAACTGATCAAGATGGATTGGCTTTCCTTTATTACTCCTCCAGGAAATGTGTCTTCCGGTCTATTTCTCTGTCACTGGCTTGTGTGAAGTGATGCTTAGGGACCTTGAAGGGAAAGGAGTGCCCTCCCTACTGCCCCGGCCCCCGGCCCCTGTGCACAGGGGGACCAGCGTCCGGGCTTCCGAATTCCGGCTGCGGCCGTTTGAGGGTTCTGGCCTCGGGCCTCCACGGTGGTTTTGAGAAGTTTGAGATAATCCTGCTCCTGGTTCCTCAGCAGGGAATCATGGTCTCGCTGGTTGCTCAGAAGGGCTTCTTGGGTTTGGTGCATCATCAGCAGGCCTATCCTTGCGACGCTGCCAAATACAAGCCCGTGTGTTGCTCCTTGTCCTCCGTGGGCTCAGTGGGAGCGTTCCTGACGTGGCCGGGAGTACACATGCTCCCCCGGGCCTCCTCCAGGGGCCCCTGGTGGCCAGTGTGGGCTGTCAGGGTGGCAGGCCGCTGTTCTGGGGTGACCCTGGGCACACGGGACACAGTGGGGTCTCAGGAGCCCCGGACAGAAGCCGAGGCTGTGCTGACACTCTACTGGCCAGAGGCGGCTGTGGGCGAGAGCAAGGGCTGTGTGGGCAGGTAGGCAGGCACCGGAGCCTGCATGGCAGGGTTGTCATCCCCGGTGGGCCTCCGGGGTACACAGGTTTCCTTGGGGAGGCTGCTCTGTAGGAGGTCGCGTGGCTCCAGTGGATCAGTGCCCGTGGACGTCTCAGGCCAGCAGCCACGGCCTCTCCCGCCCGGGCCTGACCCCCAGAGACCCACCTCCTCATGCCATCACACTGCAGGTCAGGTCTCGACATGAATTTGGGGAGAAACAGAATTTAGTCTGTAGCACCCACTATCCCCCAGTGTTTTGGGGGGTGCACACTCTCATCCCCATCACAGATCTCCACTGCCCCCTCCACAGACCACACCTGTCTGTGGGTAGTGTCGTCACTCCTTATCTGCGTGGACCCGGAGCCCCGCAGAGCCCGGGACTCGGCTGGCTCAGGCCTGCATGGACCGCACCAGCTCCGTCTGCTCCTGGCTCCCACCCTTGTGCGGCCTCTTGGGGCTCCCCTGCCTCCCTTCCCCTCTGGGGAGTCGGGCTGACCTGTGCACATTCCCGTCACTGGACAACCCGGAACCACCTAGTGCCCTCCCAGATGGCCACAGCGCATGCCCAGCGGGGGCTGGTTCTGTCCCTCTCCTGAGCCTGCCCAGGGTGGGGGTGCTGCACGCAGCACGGGGCTCTGCCATCAGCCGTGGGCCCCCCTCTTCCTGGCCCTCGCAGAAGCCCATCACTGAGGGCGATACTGCCTGAAATGGGGAGCTTGCTGTCCCTGCAGAGAAGGCTCTGGCTCCTTCCTGGGTTAGCCTGGGGACATGACCAGGTGAGCCTCCCTCCCGGACAGCGCTGGGCAGGGTCTCACCTGCTGGAGACAATGTGGGGCTCCCCTCCAGTGTCTGGTAAGGTGCACCTGCATGCCTGGGGCTGGGGCGACCTCTGGGACATTTGGGTAGCCAGCGTGGAGGATGCAGCCCCAGGAGGAGAGCTCCTGATGGCTGGTTGGTCCTAGAGCTGGCAGTGGCCCATGGCCAATGCTCTTGTGGAAAATGGTCTTGTGGCTGGCTGGCTGGAGCTTTTGGGGTCCCAGGGCCCCTTGGAGCACCCCCCCAACAGACACGCAGTGCTCTCTGCAGGCACCGGACTGCTCCCTTCAGGTGGCCACGCCGGCCCCCCCGCCAGCAGCACCTCCCGGGGCTGGCTCCTCCCACGCCTTCCTCTGTGCCCTGGCCCCGCCTCAGGCAGGCTGGCTGGCCTGGGGCCAGAAGGTGGGCTCACAGTGACCCAGCTGCCCCTCCTCCCTCCCCTCACTTCCAGGGGTTCCTGGCCTCGGTGACGAAGGCCATCATGGCCCCCTATGCTGACCAGCAGAGACACCGAGAAGTCACCTCTGTCTGACCTTGCCTCCTGATTAGCAGGAAGCAACCGTGTCCTGAGCAGGCTCGGAGGCCAGAGAAAGCTGAGCCGGCGACATGAGCTGGCAGCCTCTGAGGCTCCCGGGGCAGGATGACCAGTGCTCGGGGTGTGGGCGGAGCTGGAGCCCCCAGCCTTTGGCAGAACTCGTTCTTTCGAACTGTCTGGCCACCGCTCTGCATTGCCGGACTGTCTTTACAGGAAGCACTTTGGACTGAGTGCTGGTCCCCAGGCCTTACCTCCCCGGCCTTGCCCCGAGACTGGGCTGCATGGACCGGGGGTGGCTGGGCACATCTGGAGCCTGAGTGGGGCCTGGTGGCCCTGCTCTTGGGCTGGCTGATCCCCAAGAGGTCGCGCGAGTGTGGGGGCCCCTGGCCAGTGGCCACCACAGAGCCTCCGCTCCCACCAGCGCAGACACGCGACCGCACGGGCGGGTCAGCTTCTGAACACAAAAGGCCCCTTAGTTTTTCCTCCTACCAAACACACAGTCAGCGCGTTTGGGACCACAGAGGTATGCCCCACGCGTGGCTGCCGTGTTAACCACTCCCCCGTGCCTGGAGAGAAACTGTGCAAGTCAGCTTTTGGCTCAGAGGGCCAGCCCGGGTCCTGGTCCATTTTGCGGAAACCCATGAAATGTCCCCTTGCGCCCTGCAGGCCCCGTGTGCCATCTGCGGAGCCGGGCCTGGCAGAGCCCCTCCTTGGCCACGTGGGGTGTTTCGTGTCAGCCGGAGGGCAGTGGCAGCCTCGTGCTTGTCACAGGCCAATGGCACTCACTTTAGCCCGGGCAGGGTGCGTGTGGGACGGGATGGTACTCAGACCGTGTTCCTGGCGCTTCCCCCGCGGGGTAGCTCAACCACTGTCCTCTGACCATCCGTGCGGGTGAGCACAGACGGTGCCCGGCATGGAAGTTCAGCCTCATCGTCGGTGTGTACATGTAGGGAAGCAGAGTGTACGTGGGGCAGGGCTGCCCGAGGTTCCAGGCACCCACTGGGGGTCTCGGAGCCTGTCCCCCTCACACAGGGGAGGCTCCCTCCGAATGTCCACCGCGGGGTCCTGCACAGTCGCCAGAAGGTGTAAACAACCTGCACGTCCATCGGTGGGGGTACGTAAGCAAAACATCCAGAGATGGGGTTGTTACTCTGCCCTAAAAAGGAATGTGGTCTGCAACATGGACGGCTCTGGAAAACGTGCTCAGCAAAGAAGCCAGGCATGAAAGGCCACAGGCTGTACAGTTCCCGTTCTGTGGGGCGTCCAGACAGGAGGACCCACGGAGCGAGAAGGCGCTGGGGCAGGACCATGAGGGTGACAGTGGAGGGGCAGGGCTTGCTTCGGAGGCTGATGAGAGCCTTCCACAGTTAGAGGTGGTAGCTGCTTACCATTGAACCTATTAAGTGCCACTGATTTGAAGACCTTAAAATGGCCGATTTTACATTATACGTATTTCACCACAACCAAAAGTAATCTTAAGGAAGAGGGGGCGAGGATGGTTCTAGATTCGAGGGGATGACAGCAGATGAACCGGTGTGTGATGCACGGCCCACCTGCACTGTGTACTGCCAGCAGTGGGGGGCACCCCAGGCTCATGGGCTCGGGAGCATCTGCCGGGGGCGGGCTGCTGCGCGGGGTGGGTGGCCGGGCCATGGACGTCTCAGGAGAGGGGGGTCCTCACTAGGGGCTTGGGGTCCTGATGCCCTGACGCACTCTTGGCTATTTGGCCGGAAATCCTGGGTGCACACGGGAGGCGCCTGGGTGGTGGGGGGCGGGACACTCACTGAACCACTGACATTCCTGTGGCTGGAGCGTCTCAGAGTGAGAAGGGAGGGCTGGGCGGTGGGCGTGGCCTGCTCCGCCCTTGCCCTCGGGCTCCAGGCCTCGGGGTGGACAGCAGCCCTGGAAGGTTCTGGAGCCTGAGGTCATCGAGGTTGTGGGTCTGCACTTCTGTGGGTATCGCCCACGTTCTGTGGCTTGTTTGTCTTTTTGTTGTGCTTCTGTAAGAGGCTCTGTGCCCCGGACATTAGTCCTTTGTCCGCCCGCAGTTGTTTTCCTGCATCTGTTGTCTGACTTTGCTCGCGGTAGCGTCCGCGTTTCCCATCTCAGGACGAGTGGGTCTTCTGCGTTGGGGTCTCGTGCCTTCCCCCGTGCGGCATGGTGTCCCTGGCCTCTCTTCCTTGGCGAGAACCTGCCTGCCTGTGCCGGGCGCGCTCTGGGCCCTGGGGTCAGTCCAGATGGTGGGGAATGAGCATTTCCCGGCCTGAGTGCCCTCAGGGAGGAGGGAGGGAGGCGGTGACATTGCAGCATGGCCCTGATTGCTGCTGCAGGGGACCACAAGGAGGTGAAGGGCCGGCTCGGATCCTGGCCTGGAATGCAGGGGGTCTCAGGTGGCACTGCCCATTGGGCCTGCCCACAGGCTGGATGGAGGCGGGCACTGGGCTTTGGCAGAAAGGCATCTCCATACCAGCCGGCACCAACAGGACCGCAGGGCCCACGGGGCAGCTGGAGAGGAGGAGAGAACAGAGGGCTCTTAGGAGATGGAGAGCAGTCAGGGCAGGAGGGCCTGGGGTTCAGCCCTGGGTGGTCCTGAAGACACGGGCCACACATTGGAGAGAGGCTGCATTTGGGGAAGTTCTCATCTTAGGTAGAATGTGGAGAAGAGCAGAGTGGACGCAGGTGGTGGTATGCACACACACAGGCACTTGTACCTCCTCCCGAAGCCCGGCAAAGCCATGAAGGGCCGTAGCCCCGGGAGGAGGACCAGGGCCGCTGGGCTGGCGGCAGGGAGAGGAGCCGAGACACACGGGCCCTGGGCAGAGGGTGGAGCCTGCTGGCCTCCTTGTCCTCACTCTGGCCTCCAGCAGCCACCCGGGTCCAGGGCCGGCAGAGCGAGGGAGAGCAGGTGAGCAGGGGGCAGAACTAAACAGTGGCACATCCCTGCATCTGTGGAATGGGAGGCCCTGGTGAAAGAACATTCCAGAACATTCCATCATGAACTTGATGGCAGACAGAAAGCTCAGCACAGGAGGCAAGACAAAGCCCAGAAGAACCGGAGAACCGAGCAGCAACAGGGTGGAAACGGACAGAAAAGATAAGAGCCTGGGGGCCCCTTGCAGGAGCCCCAACATCCCAGAAACAGACACCGCCTATGCAGAAGGCAGGGGCCTTGGCATTCTTTCGGGCGGGATCGGTCGTCTGGGCTCCCTCCCCAGGCTGCGCAGGCGCCGAGCGTTACCGCTTGCGCCCACTGCAGGCAGGGTCTGGGCGGGGACGCAGCCCCTCCTGCCAGTCCCTCCCGACGCGTGGGCTCCTCCGGCCCCAGGGAGCAGCGTCCTCTCCACACACTGTCTGCCCAGCGTTCTCAGCTGGTGCATGGACACAGGTCTCCCCACGCCCCGGGCAGCCTGGAGGGCAGTCAGGGGGACAGTCTTGCCTTCCTCCCAAGGTTGTGGGAACGTGAAATGGCGCAGCCCTCGGGGAACTGCAGACGCAATGAGCACGGGGTCACCGGCAGCCCCACTTCTGGTGTGAAGCCCACAGGGCCTGGCAGTGGGGTCTGAACACACACGCCTGTGGTTCACAGGAGCCAGGCCATGGGGCAGCCCAGGGGCCCGTCTGTGGGTGAGCGGACAAACAGAAGTCCGTCCATGAAGGGGAGCATCATCCTGCCGTGAAAGGAAGAGTCCTGAGCCCTGCCACTGGAAGGCTGAACCGCGGGGGCACGGAGCACGGAGTGGCCTCAGCCACTCACAGGACGACACACCGTGTGACCCACTCATCGGACGTCCCTAGAGGAGTCCGTCCACCCGGACAAAGTGGGGTGGGGGCGCCAGGGGTTGGGGGGGGCTGCGTGTGGATGGGGCCAGAGTTTCAGGTTGAGAAGATGGAAAGTTCCGAAGATGGTGGTGATGGGCGTGCAACAGTGTGAATGTGCTTAATGCCACGGAGCTACGTAATTAAAAATGGTAAATGTTATATCGTGTATATTTTACCACAATAAAAACTGAGCTAGACATTGCCATGCTGTCCCCCAAAAGAAGACCGTGGAGATTCACACCCCCACGGGGCGGGGGGTGGGTGAGTTAAAACCAGAATCCATGGTGTTAACCAGCAGTGACCCTCACCGAGCCTGCCTGGAGCCCAGGGAGCAGCTCAGGTGTGCCTGGGTTCCTGCTCCGAGGGAGGCGTGGTCTCCAAAGCCTCAGAGCAGCTGGAGACCCTCAAGTGGCGACTGACCTTCCTCTGTCCCTCAGCCTGGAGCCGGAAGGACCCCAGTCATGTCCCGCCCGGACGCCCCCCCCCAGCTATTTGCGAGTGCCCACTGCTGCCCAGGAGCTGGGGAATGTGGTGGCTTAAAGGACATGATGGGACACCGGGTGCTTCCTTGGCCCCCGTGTACGCACCCCCAGGGGCAGCAGGGCCCTGGGCTCCAGTCTCTGTTTTGTGTCACGCACATGAGGATGGGGGGCTGTTAGTCTCGCCTGTGCTGTTTCTAGCTTTGTCCCCCCCTCGGGTGTTCTGCCCCCCAGATGTGGAATTGAGGTTCTGGAGGTGGGTGGGCCGAGGTCTTTGTTTCGGGACGGGGTACAGGGGCTGGCCTGGTCTCTGGAGGAGGAGTGGGCTCTGGGGGACCCCTAGTGTTCCTTTCCTGCTGTGGGGCGTGCACGTAGGTCCCCATAGGGTCGGGCCTGGGGGAGGGGTGGGTGGGCGTCCTCCCAGCAGGCCCTGCAGGGCTTTAACCACACGACACTGGTGAAGATGGGAATGCCTGGCAGGACTTGCGTGCATGGGAATTTCTGCAAAACCAGGTTTCTGTGATCTTTTTGAAATGTCACTCTGCAACTCACAAAACCCAGGGGGCTCCAGGATATTGCTCCTCCCCCCTCGTGTCACCCCCTTGGGGAGCAGCATTGCCCCTGCTGCCTTCTCTCCCCTGGCCCCAGGGCAGAGCACCTGTCCCTCTCCCCTGGCTGTGTGGGTTCCAGCCTGTGGGGCCTTGTTGGGTGACCCCACAGGAGGCCCCTCTCACAGGGTGCTCTGCTCCCCCCACTGGCCTTCGGTCCCAGCGGCCCACCCCTCACCCCAGTTCCACATTGTACTTGAGCCGCTGCCCTCCAGGTCCTGTGCCTTCACCACACAGGTCACCCCGAGAGTGGTCGTGGCCCGGCCTCAGAAGACCCCGCTCCTAGGGTGCCTTCCTGTCCTTCCTTCCACCCTCGCTGTCCCCTCGGACCCTGCCAGTACCTCTGTCTTCCTCCCGACACAGGCCCTCACGACCCAGTTGTCCAGCCTCTGTCCATGGCCTGGGCATGGGTGGCTCTCACGGCAGCCCTGGGCTAGGAGGACTGCCTCCCCCAAGGCCTGCCCTCCCTCCAGGCGTGCTAGCATCTCGAGGTCCAGGAGCTCCCTCCTGTTGGCACCCTCCTGCCCTCCATGAGGACCACTGACCTGAGAACATGCAGAGGCCACAGCACCCAGAGCTGGTGTGGAGAGACAGAGACCCAGGGGCGGGGGCTTGGCACCTGCGTCCAGCCCGATGACAGCCTAGCCTGGGCATCCAGTTGTCCTGGGCCATGGGCACCTCCCCTGACCATCATGGCTGGCTTCCCACAGGCACTCCTTGGCCCCTGCTTTGCCAGGTCTTGGGGATGTGTGGCTGTCCCTGTACGTCCCTTGATGTTTGCAGCAGTTCTGTCGGCCGGCTTTTCCTGCACA